ATGAATGACTGAAGTGATGGAGACCATGTTTGAAGGCAAACAAAAACATGAAATAACAGTCAATCAAGCAAATCCCCCTCTCAGATTCCACAGCAACCAGAAGAACATAAATACTGGCTGGTGATTTGATTAATCAGCTTTGTGATGGAATAAAAAATGCACAGTGCATTTCCTTAGCTGTGGATGAGTCCACTGACACCACTGACAATACTCAGTTGCTGGTGTTTGTGAGTTTTTATGATGAGGCAAAGGGGGAGTTTGTTGAAGATGTGTTGGGCCTGACGAACCTCAGTGGACACACAAGGGGGCAAGACATTTATAAAGCAATAATGGGAATGCTGAATGAAAGAGGGTGCAGCTGCCTTTATTCATAACTGTGCAGCTCTTACACTGCGACTCTGAGGGATCAAGCACAGACACAATAACAATGAAAACTGCTGCATACAGATTATTTTTGTTTTTGCAACCTCGTGTTAAGAATCTTGTTGCAATTGTTTAAAAGTTTGAATGACCGTAATAAACAGACCTTTATCTTATTGAAAATAATAAAATAATGTGTCTACTTGTTTACTTCCTGTCTGTCTTCTTCTGTGGATTTCTCTGACGTCCAACGCTCTGTCTTTTAAACTCTTTCCTTCTCTCGCTTGATCTTCCTGCTCTGTTTGCCGTACAGGTTGTACTCTCGGTACAGGATGTAGTCCTTCAGGCGCTCCGACACCGGCAGGAAGCTCATGAAGACCGGCGACCGGAGGCGAAGGCGTCCGAGACAGCTACTCACCTGCAGCCGGCAGAGGTGCTGCAGACAGCTGGCGCTTTCTGGAGAGGAAGAGGAGTAGAAGGAGAGCATTGAGAAATATTAATGAAGATTGTTTTTATTCTTGTTTGCAGGGAGTAATGACATTTATTCAGTCAAATATGGTGTTTGCCAAACAGGTTTTCACATACAAGGACTGCTTTGGGGTAATAAATATAAATATGAAATATATATTGAAAATAAATATTACTACAACTATTCTAAAATGAAATAATAGAAAATACAAATGGAAAAGGAAATACATATTGATAAAGCAGAAACAAAGCAAGTTGTGTACAGGAAATAAATAAATATTGAAAAAATGAACACAAAAAAAGAGCAATTATTGAAAAAGACTATAAATATTTTAAATTTTTATAAAAATGATTATAAAATAAAATAATATGTACAGGTAACAAACATTGGGTGTATTGGTGCGTATACATAGACAGTTAACCTGTTAAGCCCTGAGCCTGTTTTTCAGGCCTCAGGCTCGAAAATGACATTCCCAGAACAAATGACCATATTTTCCCTTCTAAAAGGGTTAAATTAATAATCTTTTTTCTCAAAGCAAGGTTACATCTGTGAGTTGGATGTAGAAAAGTCAGAATCAATATAGATGTTTTTATTTTAAAGTAAATTCAGATTGAACATAGTAAGAAAATGTAAAGTAGTGTCCGTCCAAAAAAACAACCATTACTTATAGTGAAAACCACCCTTGAATGATGGTAAGGTAGACTAAAAGCTTTAGGAATCCAAACTATAACATATAATAAGTACCCTGTATCAAGATTGAAGCAAAACAAGGGAAATTTAACCTTTTTAGAAAGAGGGGTCATTTGGGTGTATTTGCCATATCTCTGGCCCCCCTCGGTCGATTTTGATGATTGACACCTCTTTTTAACCGTTAGAGCCTAAATCCTAAATCCATCTAAACATTACCATTGAGGAGTGAGAGTGATGCGCATGCAGTTTGCCCAAACCGAAAGCTACGTTACACTCTGAAAACTGAAAACTAGGCTTATTGCCATAAATATTATGATGGATTATCAGTAATCATTTCAAAGTGACACAGAGAAATTGGATTAACCTTCAGCAGCGTTTTTATCGTTTTAATGCCATTGAACACAATTAAGACGTATTTGCCATTTTGGCCCTGTAAAGCTAAGTTATGTGTTGTCTGGTTTCGCCTTCGCTGCCCTGAGTTTCGGGCGCACAGTGATGATACTTACACCTCTAGAATCTTTGGAATCCCAGCTTTAATCTGATATCTTGTTTGTGCAGATCCGATAAGTAATAAAATATTTCTACCGTGAGTTCTGTGCTAATTCAGAGGCTTGTTATTACCCTTGTGTTTCGTTTCGGTAAAAATGGTTCATATCGTTAGTTAGCTGAGTTTCTTCCCGTTAAGTGGGTATGACACATTAATTGGTTGTTAAATGTTAAGAAGCCCTGAGACACAGCTTTGTGAATAAAAAGCCTGTAGCCGCTTAACAGGTTAAAGAGCTGTGTTTAGGTGCCTAACAAGCATTATTATTATTCAGCCTCTTTGTAAACATGCACCTGATTTACCTTTGTGCACCTATTTATTCCCCAAATGGTGTTTTGTGGATGATATTTTGAAGTTATTTTATGCAATGTGCTGTAATAAATGGTAGTTGATTTTGTTGTTGATATTCCTTTGTGCTCTGTGCGAAGCAAGTTCACTTAGGGACAGTATTTGAATTTACCTTGCAGCCTGCAGATGTCCGGCCACTGCTGCTGCTCCATCACTGCTGCCTTCGGTTTGGAGCACAAGGTCACATGATCTAGGTAATCCAACAGGACGAGCACCACCTGACCTGAGAGGTGCTTCAGCCAGGAGACGGTGATCACCTTGCAGAACTGAAACAAGAAGAGTTTTACACGTCGGTTTACGTCTGAATGATCTTCAGCCACTTTAGACGATCCTTTACACTTTAGAAAGGAATTCAGATTGAAAGAGTAGACAGACAGATCCAGTATGCAATTTAAAGTTGGTGTAGGCAGGATATTTGTCTCTTATGATTTTCTTTAAAGTTTTCATCTTTCTAAACTCTCGATGGTCAAGATTAGTTTGGCATCCCAATCTGTATTTAATCTGTATCTATTCTCTGTATTAGGGAATTTTGGGTTGATTTTGAAGATTTAGGGGCCTCTCGATCATTTTGGTTGGAAAGTTTGCCTATTTATTTTAGACATAAATTGTCCACAGTAGAGATAATAATGTTCATCCTGTGCTCTCTGTATCCAATGGTTGCAACACTACTCATGGTAGTCAAAATTAGCCCACGGAGAATACCTTCTGGTTAATATTGCCCTTTTTTATCCTGAAGATGTCCTAAATAGATTAAGCATTCTCAATAACCTTCAAAATCACTCCAAAATTGTCAAAATCAGCCAATTCATTTTTCAACTATTGTTTACTTGGCTTGCCATTCATTTGAATTAACACAATTTATGCTAATCGTGCAAATTGCCAAATGTATGTAAATTAGAATCCGGAAGCAGAAGCCCTGGTAAAACGGCAAGGTCCATGACAAGCTGAAAGCACAGAGGTGGAGACTTGGAAGAGTTTAGGAAGTCAATGTACGCGCTCCGGAGAGCTTTTAACGGTGCAAAGAGACACTCCAAAGAGAAAGAAGAGTCTGACTTCAGAGGCTCTGACACCTGGAACATGTTGGCGGGACTAATGACAATAACTGACTAGGGCAGCGGGTGGTGCTGAAGGATTGTCTGTGTGTGCATCTCTTCCAGATGAGCTGAACGCTTTTAATGCATGTTTTGATAGCAGCCAGGCTGTGAGCGGGCAGAAGACCTGCAGGATCCAACCAACATCACATCCTCCACCCTGATCCTCAACACTTGAGCCCCTCAGGGCTGCGTGCTCAGCCCTCTCCTCTACTCCCTGTTCACACACGACTGCGTGGCCACACACAGCTCCAACACCATAGAGAAGTTTGCTGACGAAACGACTGTCATCGGCCAGATCACAGACGGCGACGAGACGAGGTCGAAAACCTGACATCTTGGTGCCAGGATAACAACCTCCATCTCAACGTCAGCAAAACAAAGGAGCTGATTGTGGATTACAGGAAGCAGCAGGGAGAGGGACACGCCCCCATCGCCATCAATGGGACTACGTTGGAGAGAGTCAGCAGCTTCAGGTTCCTCGGGGTCCACATCACTGAGGACCTGACATGGACTCTTCACACAAACACCATCACCAAAACAGCTCGACAGCGGCTCTTCTTCCTCCGCAGGCTGAGGAGGTTCAACATGGACTCCAGGGTACTCTGCAACTTCTACAGGTGCACCACAGAGAGGATACTGACCTTCTACAGGTGCACCATAGAGAGGATCCTGACCTTCTACAGGTGCACCATAGAGAGCATCCTGAACTTCTACAGGTGCACCATAGAGAGCATCCTGACTGGCTGCATCATGGCCTGGTACGGCAGCTGCACCGCCCTCGATCGTAAGTCTTTACAGAGAGACGGAGCTGCCATCCATGGAGTACTGCCATCAATGGAGGACCTTTACTCCCAGCAGCTCAGGAAGAAATCCCTCCGGATTATAAAAGACCCCCATCACCCCACCATACTTGCCAACCCTCCCAATTTTCGCGGGAGACTCCCGAT